TTGGTAATTAAATTAAAAGTCATTAGTTCCATTTCATCCTTAAGCGAACACCGGATTATATATCTTACTGTTTCTTTTATATTTATATATATATATATATATATATATATATATATATATATATATATATATATATATATATATATATATAGTTCGAATTCGACAGGAGAATCGAATATATATATATATATATATATATATATATATATATTCTCGACTCTCCCGTCGAATTCGACGTATGAGGGTCAAACAGATCAGTTCTCAAGAAACCGACAGCCCGACAACAGCACATGAGATTTGATTATAGTGGTGAAGGTTTCGTGCAGGACCATCCACACTTCTTGAAGGACCGAATTCAGAGACCTGGTGCACTACGTACCGCAAGATCCCCAAACAACCCTTCGCAGGTTTTGAATTTAGAGTTGTCCTTCTCCTAGACCAGTTGCCATCCAAGGCTATGCAACTAACCATAGCTAGAAGGAGAAGGGAATTAGCACGTCAATGAATGTAATATATATATCGTCATCCACAGACAGACTGTTTCGCTGCATGACAGCTCATCAGTGTGGCTAGACGTCCAGTCCCTTCAGTCAGCGATTCTAACACCTCGGCTATCAGCGCCCGGCAGAGAGAAATGCTAATTTTTCCGTATTTATTTTTTTCATAAACACGCCAGTAACCCACAGAACTCAATCCGTTGGGAGAGTCTTTCATTATCAGCAATAATAGTCACTGTTTACAAATTCGCGCTCTCTTCACACAGTGTTCGACCGAATTAATTTATTATTTTTTTTATTTTGATTTTTTTTTTTGGACGGGAGCTAGTTTATATATATATATATATATGCGTGTGTGTGAGTCTGTGTCTGTATGAAAGATGATGATGGCGATGGCTTTTCCAGTTTAATGACTAATTAATGGCTTTAATTTGTTATTGTATGTTCCATGCAATCAAGTTGTTGTAGTGTTGTGTATGGGATCGTCTGTGGCTTTTCAGGCCGGCTAACGAGTTGCCCATTTCGTGACACACCCTCTCTCTGTGTTCTCGGTGACTAATGAATGTGCTTTGGGCCTAATTTTGTCCTTCATCCAACTCATATGTTGTTTAATAGGCAGCTCGGGGGATTTTTACACTCATTAGGACAAATTGAAAGGACGGAGAAGGAAACAACAGCAAGCGACGAGTTTTTGTAAAAATGGATCGCAAAATAGGGGTATGGGAAGGATGGTGAAAAGACAAAAACCTTAGGATATGATGTAGTGAAGGGGACATGATATCACACGTCCTGAATGGACACGGAACATAGGATAGCACGCAAAAGCTGGACTTTAAAATTTGATTTGCATTAGATAGATAGATAGATAGATAGATAGATAGATAGATAGATAGATAATGAACAGACTGACATAGATAGATAGATAGATAGATAGATAGATAATGAACAGACTGACATAGATAGATAGATAGATAGATAGATAATGAACAGACTGACATAGATAGATAGATAGATAGATAATGAACAG